GAGGCTTCACGTCCTGCTACTAAACGACCGCTGAACGACTCAGCAAGGGATTGAGGAACCTAGCTCAACACAAGAAGAGATTAATATTCTGTGCAAGTGACAGGGAAACAGTTGTTCGGAGCTGCGACGCAAGCTAGACCGCCGGTCCGCGGACCCCGCACCATTACACGGAAACACGGCAAAGCCAACCTTAACCCCACCATAAAAAAAGACGAATTTGGCGTGGGAGATGGGCGGAAAATGCTGATCCGGATGTCTCAATACCCATACGAGGAAGGAAAATTTACCATAATTGGAGATGGTTCCAACACAAATCACGGACGTCATCGGTCGAAATCTGTTCAGGTTGGCAGAAAAACGGCTACTAAAACCGAGTCTAAAAATAAATTTTTAGGACTCGGAATTTTCAAACTGCTCGACCTCAAATCGTGCATGATTCCTCGTGGAGCATGGTAGCTCCCTTCCACTGATTGGACCTTTCCCCGGTTTGTATATGAGAGAGGTTGGTGGTTCGAGTCCACCCGAGGTTTTCTCTCTCTTTGTTTCACCGAGATGAGATACAAACAGGGGACGCGCGGTCTTAGGAACCTTTGTACGGTGAAGAGTCCGAGTCGATCATTTTTCGTCTCGGAGATTCAGCTCGGCCACAGGGAAGCGCGACGATTCGATCGAGGTTGCTGGTGAATGAACCTTTGTGGAGCAAAGCAGCTCGCTCCCACCGAGTAAATTGTCGTGCAGCGTATCGAACCCACCCGAGCACATCCTCGCCGATTTCTCGTTTTGTTTTGTTTTTGTGCTTAGGATCCGTGCCTGAGGCAGTGCAGCTCGAGAGATGCAACATGCACCTCCGATTCGGAAATTCGGGCTCACCATCTTTGAAATCGCCGCACGCTCTCAACCTGTAACCATCCCGAAGCTGATAATGGTGGCACAGCGAGTTCATGCCTGGTACTTTCAGGCCTTCACAATCGAAGCACCTGCTCACGATGTGATTTCCAGGGGTGGAACTGCTCTTGTATCGAGTCATCTGCGTCTCCGATACCCCGCCAATCGCCGGCTTTCCCCACTTCACTATGGACATTCTTGCGAACACTCAAACAGAAACCAGCATCTTTTTTCAAAGACACCGTGCACCATGTCTTCGTCGGATTTACTGGCGAATTCTTCCACTCATCTTTCTTCTCACAAATCCGGTCCTTTCTCGGCGCATGCACGGGAATCACCACTTTGTACATAGCCGACATCTATATGGCTCCCATTCTCTTGTTAGTACGCCATCTGTCCCCGATGCCCCTGCGGCATCTGACGGTGAAGTCCACCGCTCTCTTTGACGGCGGGCTTTATTTCAGTGACCCTGCGTTCCACGACGTTACGCATCTGCATCTGCTCGGGAACCTGACCATGGGCGGCGGTGGCCCGAACCCTTGGAATCGCTTGGGCGGGAGTGATCCGGAGGAGTGGACGAAGGGACTGACATCTATCCCGAACTTGACGCACTTCGCTTTCAACAGCCCGAGCTCACGAGAGCTTGTTTACCCTGCACACATGCCCTCGCCTGGCATGCTGCATCCTTCTTTGTCCACCGGGAATTCATGACACAGGGACGACGTGGCTGCCGGAATCAAAGGACCCACGCTTCCTGACAATGGCCGCTCTTGGTTCAGATGCGCGTCAGGCGGACTGGCAGCATCGAGTAATTGGTGGCGAAGACATGTGGGCCCGCGCCGAAGCAGTGATTGCTAGGCGCCGCGCGGAATGAATGAGAGCCCAAGGCCTTATTGATACGACTTCCCCGTCCAGAATCTTGTTGTATTTTGTTCAGGCCAATTCAATACTTATTCTCTGTTCAGCTGATTCCGTGCTCTTAGAATTTGACGCAGTATCGAAGGAAATTCAGTGCCACTTTATTTGGATTCCTGCGCAATCGAAAGCTTCTTCTCATACCTTTACCTTTTTCTTTCTTTCGACCTCAAGTCTCCGGTTTGGTTCTTCCTGGATCACTCATTGGGGGAGCTTGCTCCCCCGATTCTATTAGGCGATCCGATTTGCGTGTCACGTGGAAATCCACGTCTTTGGTGTTATTTGCTAAATCACGTGTTGACTCCCACGATGGCCCAGCGGTGAAAAACAATACTCTGTATTGGCGAGCTCCCCCTTACGTATCCGGGCACCGGAATACAAAACATATTACTTCTTTACAGGCCCAGCCCTAATGATCTCACCGTCATCGTCCCGTTGACCGTCCACCCTATGGCCAAATTTTACCGGATTTCCCAGTGAATGTATCACGCAGTGCCATCGATTCCAGTACAGTTCATGGAACTTTCACCAACTTTTTTCAAGTACGCGGGGTTGACAGTCAGAATGACATCGGCACTTGGCAAAAACACATTGTCGGTAAGAAACACGAGTTGCGATACAAGTTACCCACGGCGTCCGTATCTACATCCTCGATGAGATCTTCCATGTCCGTCGAGTCCCACACAATCAAAATAGACTGGTTGCTGTTCTTGTTGAATTTATGGATTTTGTCAAGGGGGCAGTCGTCGTCTGCACCGTCACCAGTACCACTATGGAGGCCTCTTCATCCTAGGAATAGTACACAGAGAATAGAACTGCTCATACCATGTGGTGATATTTATGTCAAGGGTCTTCGCAAGCGGGAGGGCTGTCTCGTTCGCGGCGGGGCAGTTAAGTCCCTCTATGCCATCTTTATCGACTGCGCAAGTGATGATGAGGCCAATGTTCAACTGGAAAAACACCTGCGATGTCAAGACAGTGGATGAGTGTCAATCAGGGCTTATCAACAAAACCGTTTACTTACTCTGGGTATGCAAGACTCTGCCCTTTGTTTTCCAATAGGCGTCAAATCGGGGCGACCGAGAGACGGCGTTTCTGCATTCGCGATAATGTAGAACGGTATCCTAGCCGCGCAAGCAGTGGAACAGACAGCCGCAACCCAAAAACAAGTTGCACACGCCGCAATTGCATCTTCGAGGGGAATGAAGAAACACACCGACCGTAGAAATTGAAAAAAGATTATTGTATTTTTATACGACAACGGGGTGGTTCATATTTGACAATTTTACTGCAGAGATAACTTAACTTGTAGGCGGTAAGTGGAGTCAAGTGGAAATACGCAACTGAGCGTAAATCCATTCATATAACCAATTACTACCCGCACCGCGTACTCACATTTCATCCAAGACCATACCCTGTCAAAATGATTTGACGCCCCATTAGTTCCAGAGGATTCTTGTATCCACTCCCCGACACCAAGCCTGAGAGCTTCTCTCTATCAGTCCTGCCATGTCCAATGTCCTCCAAAAATCTCAGGACAAAGTCCTGACAATCGTTGGGAAAAGCAGAGTATTTGGGTGACATCTGCGACAGTATAGAAGACCCTAAAAAGAGGCGTCAACCTCCGAGATTTGAGCTAGGAGAAGACCATACCTTTGTGCTTGAGTTGATCGTCTGTTAGGATCGTCCCTCCGACGCGGTACTGGGTAGACCAGTCTTGCTCGATGAACTCCAAGTACCTCAAAGCGATCACGCCTGTGCCCCTCTTTTCAAGCTCGTATACCACGCCTCCGACGCGGACAGCCCAATGGAACGTGGGTTCTGGCCGTTCTTGCGAAGGCACCGCTCTGGGATGGGTTGGCCTTTGCGATGCTTCAAAAGGACGGGAAACGACGTAGATGTCTCTGAGGGTCTCCCCAGGGCCAACGGGGGGTCAAGGGGGGTGCTGAAGAAGTTGCCCATGTTTCAGCGCAATGGTGGTAGACAGGTGAAGATACATGCGGACATCAGTTTGCCGCAAGGTCAGCCCGGGCCCAGACTGCAACGGAGGCATTAGAAGCAATGGAAATGATCGGTAGGCCATTATTGGAATCCGGCACGAGTGCCACGGTGCTCATATTTCTAGAGGCCCGTGGTGCGGGGGGAGCAGAAGTGTCGAGGGAATTGTGCTTAGTACCGATTGGTACGAAGAATTCCTAAAAGCACTACTTAGCAACTCCCGGAGGAATATTATTTCATCCTGGCCCAACGTCAACTGTTGTGCGTCAGCACGAACAGTTTAGTTTCTTTTGGCCTGAAATCGAAAAATCACAACAGCGGATGCGATGATTTTCGCTACTGATCGGATATTGGTTGAGGCGGTCGCGGCTAAATAGTCATCGTACAAGCCCATCTTTCGTTGAGCGAGACACGCGCCGCACACGTTTGTTATAAATCGAGTGGAAGAGTGAGTAAATGAACGTGTTTCACCACGAGGTTGCTGAAAGAAGTCCGATAGACACACGGCAAAAAAGGAATTTTCTATCTGGCAGAAAATGTTTCAGAATGTGATACTTCCAGCTGTAGTTGAGATACAGCTGAATTTGTTGTAGGATTTTTTGCTTTCAACTTGCCAGAAAATGCCGCGGAAAGCAAAAAGTTAGGCTGTAATTTCAACCCAATTGAAAGTAACATATTCAACTGTAGTCTCAACTTGATAGAATGTGCTACCAAAAGCAATAAATTCAGCTGTGCTTTCCTCCACTTAGAGAGTGTTACATTCTGTAGGTAGCAAGTGCAGCCGAAAACGTTATTTTAAGTAGCACATTCTATCGAGTTGAGACTACAGTTAAATCTTTTGGTTTCAGCAGGATTGAATCCACAGCGGGACGTAGTATGCTGTCTTGACCAGGATTTTTTTCAACGAGCTGAAATCAATTGATAATCACGCACGACTTGTTGCATAAGCAGTGAATTCGGAGAATGAATGTTTTGCACGACCTGATAGTGCACTTTGAATAGCCCAACAAAATCTCCGAAATCCCAATCTCGAAGACGACTGGAATGAATTTAGAGCTAGAATCGCTGACAGATTGGGCAAAACCGGTCGATACGATGTCTTGAACTTCTGGTGATGCACTTGTTGGAAAGGGCTCGATCATAAGCTATTGTGTGGCCCGAGAACATAGTGGAAGATTGCTTACCTGAATGCAAAGGGACAAGTCCTTGTGGAGTAGTAACGCAACTCACTATTACATATTTGTGGCAACGTCCCATTGCACATGAAGTCTTCTGGGAGTGTCGGTGGTTCGAACCCACCCGGGGACGTGCGCTCTCATCCAGTTTTTGTCTTCTTCTTCACCTTCTTTTCTGACAAGTCCTACTTTTATATTTGATTTGCATTCCGGTTGAAAGCATCCGCCTGTGCCCGTGTCAAAAAACAGAACCGTGAAGCCGAAGCGTTGAATTCTTGAATTTTAAATCTATAATCCACGGCATGGCATCTGCGGTGAGTTGTATAGCGTCATGTTGGCTTATGGGTAGATAAGTCCTCGTGAAACATGGCGGCTCGCCCCTGCTGACTAGAAGCTCCATCCAACGAATCTTCGGGACAGTTGGTGGTTCGAACCCACCCGGGGACGTTAATGTTGTCACTCATTTTCCATTTAATCATTCTTCTTCCTTTGTTTCCGGCAAGTTCTGCTTTTGTACTTGATTTGCATTCTGGTTGGAAGCACTTTGCCTGTGCCCGTGTGGAAAGCCGAAGCATTGAATTATTGAATATTATATCTATAATTCGCAGTATGGGTTGTGTAGAGTCATGTTGGTTAGTAAATGGGTGGGTAAGTCCTCGTGGAGCATGATAGCTCGCTCCCGCTAGTTGAGGACTGTAGCTGTCGGTAGATTGTATCGGGGAAAGTCGGTGGTTCGATTCCACCCGAGGACATATATCTGTTGTCGCGCTCGAATTTTGTTTTGTTTTGGGATCCCAGCTCTAGGGAGCAACCCTGCACCACTCGGCAATTCGAAGAACGTGCAAGTGCTGCACACTGACGAGTTCTCGGAACCCGAGCCAGCGCAGTGCCAGAGACTAATATCCAAGGTATCCCGAGCAGAATTTAATCTCGATTTTTTTTCACCCAGGGACGTCTTTTTGAATTGTGCGTCTTTTCTTTATTTTCTTATGGCGACAGGTTCTTCCTCTGGTCGCTCCGTCTGTGAGGTTGAACTCAGCTACAGCGAGTGGCGCCGAGGTGATCAGAATTTTTGTGCAGTGCACTTCAGAAGTGGGCATAATATGGGTGGATAAGTCTTCGTGGAGCATGGCAGCTCACTCCCACTGGTTTAGGGAACATCCGCCGAGTATATGTGGGAAAGCCGGTGGTTCGATTCCACCCGAGGACATACATCAAGTTCCCGTGATGCCTTTTTTGTTCATGATCCCGAAAGCGCAACTGTCTGAGTTTCACCCTCATCGGAGACAGAAGCCTGGCCGTGTGCGATCGTTGAAGCCATCAGCGGACAAATCGAACATTGGCCACAACAATCACTCTCATTCACAGCATGGTACTTGGCGGGGGTTGTGTATGAATTATGATGTTGGTATAAGAGTTCATACGTCCCCGTGGAGCATGGCAGCTCGAGGCTCCCGCGCAATGGCTGTTCTCTCCAGATCGCATCTGGGAGAGTCGGTGGTTCGAATTAAACCCACCCGGGCACTTGTCTTTGGACCGTTCATTTTTTCTTCTATATTTGGACGAGATCCACTGAATACAAACAGTGAGTCCGGGAGTGTTAGAACCCGACGGTCTCAGAAACGTTTTATGCTGCCCAAGTACGGTGGAGAGTTACCCAGGGTTTCTTCGTCTTGTAGATTGAACTCGACCCACAGTGAATCGCGATTCGCGACTAGTTTTTGACTTGTGTAGTGTCTGTAAGTATGTGGGTACATGGGTCCTCGTGGAGTAATATAAGCAACTCACTCCCACATAATTGCAGCAATCTGTGGCTTGAAAAGCTGAGAGAGAGTCGGTGGTTCGAATCCACCCGAGGACGTTCGTTGGCCTGGGTTCCGAATTATTTTCTTTCTTTTGGCTGAGGTGAAGTCAATCACAGCGATAGCGCGTGGAAAGCGATACGTGTCCGTGCGACGTCTTGAAGTTTGAAAGTTGAAAGCTTTGTCACAAAATTCCGACACCGGACCTGCAACCCCTATCCCAAAGCGGCATGACAGAAGCCCTTATTGCATCACTCTGCCGTAAATTGTGGTCTCACGAAATCTTTCTTTCTTCCCTTCTCTTCCTCCTCCTCCTTCCTTTTCCGAACGAAGGAAAGACTCGACAGACACACAGTGGGCGTCTCAACCTGGCTCCTGATGCTCCTCAGCTCAGGCCCTCGCCCGAGTTCAAGACACTACCACATCTACCCCGAGCAAAAACGCGATATTACGGCGAAGCAGGAGCACCCCACCTCGGGATAGGGCGAACATGCTGAGGTGCTGAGAGTTGTTCGATATGACGAGCCGCAGTTTCAGTGTGATAATCAAGAAGCTGGAGGGCGATTTTCGTGAGTCGTGTTTCTCTCCTTTATAATAATAAAAATACTACTAATAGAACCAAGGTCTCCCTATTCTACCTCGTCCTCCACGCCTCGACACAATCAAAGGCGACATGATCCTTTCCTCCGCAAAGCAGCTCCTCATCCGAAACTTCCCCACTCCCTCCGCCACGCCCGGCTCGACCTACACCGACTCCGGCCCCGATGAGAAAGATCACCAGCTGCTCGTGGAATACAACGTAGTCGTGTCGGATCTCGCACACCTTCGGCCCGCATATCGGGGCGCGATATTGGGGATTGCGGTCAAGATGGGCCGACTTTTCCGAAAAATCTACTCCGTATCTGGAAACGATAACAGACTACGACCCTCTACCGGAGATGTGCCTGCCTTCGGGGTAGCGCAGCCAGCCGCAGCGGTGCGCCCTTCATGCCCTCTCCGCCACAATACGCCTCCGCCTCCCTCGACTATCTCCGCCTCTTCAAAAATCAGAGCGTATTCAGCTTAGTCGCCATCCTCGCGACGATCGATCGCGACGCTCGAGCTGTGTTTTATGAATCTGCGGATTTTTCACGAGCAATGTGAAGATAAGGAAGGCGTGGCGGCGGAGGTGTGTCGATTTTTTTTGGGGGGGCGGCGTCCCCTCCTTGTGACGACTCGCGTCGCATCTTCCGCGTTCCTCCCTCCTCTCCCTTCCCTCTTCTTCCTTTCCGCTCATCCCCTTCCGTCTCCCTTCTCCTCCCTCCCCTCCCCTCCCGTCCCCTTATCCTCCTCCCTTCCCTTTCTCCGTACCTCGCTTTCCTTCCTGCCTTTGAATACGACTACTCACGCCCCCACCCAGCTAATAATGCACTCCACGAACCTGCACGAGGCCGGGCTCATCTTCGTCGAGTACGCGCGCCGACACCGCCGACCCCGATTTTCCTAGGCTCAGTGTGGCGGGTGGGATAGTGCGTTTTTGAGTGTTTTGGTGCCTGTCCCTCTCTTCCCTTTCCGCACGTGGCGCATGGCGGTGCACCCGCGGACTTTTCGTCTCCCGTCCCTTTGCCCGCTATCTCTCCGCCTCGACTTCGTACTCCCTCCCATTTTCCCTCCCTTCCTCCACTTCCTCGCTTTGTTTTCCCTCCCCCCCCTCCGCCCCCCTCCCTCCATTCCCTTTCTCTCGTCCTCGGCTGTACCCACCTTACCTTCCTCTCTTCGTCTTCGTCCTCCCTTCCCTTCACTCCCTCGACACCCCCGCTTCCTACTCCGTCCGCGCCGACCTCCGTCTCCCTCGCGGCCTTTCCCTTCTTCCTCCGTATCCTCATCTATTGTCCTCCCTCCACTTCCTTCCCTCCCTCCCTCCCTCTTTTCTTAGGCCCGCTCTAATCCGAGACGTTCCCTCCCCGCCGACGCGGACCGTTCCTGTCCTTCTCTTCCCTGCGTTCCTTCAAATTCTCCCTCCTCCCTCCTCCCCCCACTTCGTCTTCCCTCCCTCCCTCCCTCTCCCTTGTTCTCTTTCGCTTCCCCCGTCGACGCCGACCGTTTCATGTCTCCATCTCCTTCCCTTCCCCGCGTTTCTCCTCGAATCCCGGTGTCGTCTCGTCTCAGCCACCCTTCCCTCCTAAATCCTCCGTCGGCCGTGCGGGTGCGGGTGCGTACGGCGTCTCGGGTTACGGTGGTGCATACGGTGGGCACCACGGCTAAGAAGGATCAGGGAGAGGAGCGAGGAGATTGAGGCTGCCGATTTCGTGGGGCGCAGACCATCGCCTCCCTCTCCCTTCCCCTGCTCGTTCTCCCCTTCCTCCCCTCTCCCTCCTTTCCTTGTATCCTTTTTCGCGTGCCGTACCACCTCGTTTTCCTCGGATTAGGGACGGGGGGTGTCAGAAGCGGAGGAGGGGTCCCGCGAGGCTTGGGGCGAAGCGGCGGGCGAGGCGCGTGGGGCTGAAGAGCGCCGGCGAGGAGCGGGGGACCTGAATTACTTACATTCAAACTTCCACCCATGTTATTCTCTCTCTCTTCTTTTTGGACATCTTTCTTCTGCGTACATGCGTGCAAGTGCAAGTGCGAGACCACATCGCCGCTCCGCCATACATAAGTTATAGTTACGCTCACGATCGCAACCTCGGACCCGATATTTTCGGACATTGTCGGCCATATCAACAGCGTGGCTTGGACATGGCTGGAACCATGTGGCTGAACGCTAAAGTATCGTATGCGCCTGATCCTCACTCAACCCATCCTCCCGGAGACAAATCAATCATAAATGTACTCACTCGAGTCGCTGTTCAATCTCCTATGCGCAGGATCCAGGCGACAGAAGTCTCCATCCCGCACCTCACCATCAATTACAGTGTCGGTCAACTCCGAGTCGGGCTCACTTCCTGCATCTCGAAGTCCGTTGCTGAATGCACCGGGGGCCTTTCCCTCTCCTTGTCTACAACACAGTGTCCCGTCCGAGTCGGCGGACTTTACAAATCCCAGTCATTCCTCTAGCGGGGCAGAGTGGCAGCGACGCCGGGCAGTTGATAGATCTCACTCGGAGGTACCTATACCTGCCCGTTTTGCTTTTTGGTCTACTAACGAGTGCCTATAAGTACACCTTTCCTGTCGATCCCAAGGTCAAAAGTCTCGTTTGCGAAACCTGTTGGACCACAGTATTCTCCGAAGAATCATTCAACGCTATCTGGCGTTCAACTTCGACGGCCTCAACGGGCCTTGTGTACCAAACCCCATCGTGGGCACGTATGCAAGAGTCTATCGACCACATGTGCGAATGGTGTGACCTTGTCTGCGAGGAAATACAGGTCTACTACGGGCACAGGATGAAGACGAACAAACCGCCCCCTGGCGATGCGACTTTCTCAGTTACCGTAAACATGCAACCTCAGACTGAGAATTCTCCTCAATGTCTTCGCTTGGAAGTTGAAAATGACTGGAAGCCAACGTGGATCGTCCACACCAACGATGGTTTATCCCAATCATTCGCAACGATGTCATGGAGTAGGCTGACAATTGTACAGGTGATCCTGCTGCACGATACATTTCTGCACGCGGTGTGGTTTGGAAAATGGATCACAACTCAACATTTACTCTTGCCCTCCAATCTATCAAAGACTGCTCTGGTCACGAGCGTTGTCCCCCTCCCGAGCCATCGCGGCTACCCACGAGGGTTATCGACTGTCTAAACCCCGCTCACCCACGACTGGTCATCAGCAACCCCTCAGACAAGGTGTTGTACGTTGCACTCAGCTATGTCTGGGGCGAGGAGCAGCCTCATAGCACAACAACAGAAAACGTCGATTCCTATACCGTTGCCATCGACCTCGTCCTGATCCCAAGAACTATCCGCGACGCTATCATTGTCACCCACAAACTGGGTTTACGATACCTTTGGGTGGACGCATTTTGTATCATCCAGAACTCAGACGACGACAAGGCCCACGAGATTCCTATGATCCGAGCGGTTTTCCGCAATGCCTTCATCACCATCGTCGCCGCCGGGGCGAAAAGAGTCAGTGATGGCTTCCTGCATGATCGGGGAGAGTGGTACCTTCCCCCGAGCACGTTGCCATTTCGATGCCCAGACGGTTCCGTTGGGACGATGCTCCTGAAGGGTGGGGCTCGCCCGCCGGATGAACCTGTTGATACACGCGCCTGGTGTCTCGAGGAGAGGGTACTCACCCCCCGAATCCTGATGTACTGCACCCACGCACTCCAGTATGAATGCCAATCGATCCGCGTCAATGTCAACGGCTCGCCGAGCTTCCTCCCCTCTGCCCGGGACATCCCACGACTCCCGGATTGTGTTCTTGCGCCTCAGAAGGTCGAACAAGTCTCGGAAAGCGAGCTTCAGAAGAGCTGGCGCGATATTCTGCGTCTGTATACCCAGCGCGCCTTGACGAAGTCGAAGGATCGGCTCGTCGCATTTTCTGCTATCGCCGAACAGTTTCATGAGGTGTGGCCCCAGAGCAGTTACATTGCCGGGCTATGGAGGCACCAACTTCCCCAAGCCCTCCTGTGGGAGCCGGTGCAGAGTCGTCAGCATCCACGGCCATCCAAGTACAGAGGACCGTCGTGGAGCTGGGCAGCGATGGATGGCGAGGTGTCGGCATTTTTCGGGAGGTCTACGGGTTGTCTATGCACCATCACCCACTTGCAGGTGGACCTAAAGAACCCGAAACACCCCTACGGAGAAGTCACAGGCGGGTTTCTGGTGCTCAGCGCAATAATCAGGATGGTCGCATGGGACCCGGACAAGCTTGAGCTGTTTGAAACAGACTCCGATCGTGCCCTAGTTCTCTCTTCGCATGAAGACTCCGAAAATGGGGAAATTGGTTATGTGATGGCCGATGCTGTGGAGGAAGTGTCGAGTGGCATGTGCAACGTTTTCGTTGCTCTGATCAAAGACACTGGGCCCACAATACTTGGGCTAGTGCTTGCGCCCGCTCATGATGATGATTGTGATTTGGATACCTACAGGCGGGTAGGATGGTTTACTGTACCATTCTGCGCCAGAGAAGCATGGCTTTCCACTAACGCAAGAACAATTAGAATTATTTGACTTCCAACTCATCCATGCAATACATAATGTGTACCTAGGTTGGATAAGTCCGCTCGCTCCCACTAATTAAACTGTCCGCTCTGTGTCACCGATGTGTTTGGGAGAGTCGGTGGTTCAATTCCACCCGGTCGTGAAGCTTTTTTTTTCATCGTTTCGTTACAGTAACTGATAATCTCACAGGGTCCCAGATGTCAGCTTTACGCGTAGTGCGCGATGTTCGGCTCATTCAAACCTGCATGAAAAGAGTAGGGACTTGATACGTAAACCGGTCTCGGTGATAGTACATTTATTGGGGCGGATTTGATCTGTCCATATCGAACGTTGAGTCCTACCTATGCTGATTAGACATGAAGCGGCGAGTCCTCGTGGAGCAAAGAAGCTCTTCCCCATTGATTATGTCTTCCTGCCGTGGCTTTCTGGAGGGTGTCGATGGTTCGAACCCACCATATACCGTTGCCGAATGTGTTTTTTCTTCTTCTTCTTCTTCCTTTTTGTTTTCTGGCAAGTTCAGATTTTGGATTTCATTTGCATCCAGTGCCCGTGTCAAAAGACAGGACCGGGATTTGATCTCATTCCGGTTTGAAGCACCTTGCTTGTATAATTCATGGCATGGCAGCGCGACGGGTTGTGTAGTCATGTTGGGATAAGTGTGGGTGGATAAGTCTTCGTGGAGTAAAGAAGTTCGCTCCCGCTGATTAGGAGCTTTTCTCATGACTCTCCGGGAGAGTCGGTGGTTCGATTCCACTCGAGGACGGTCGCCGTTCCTGTTGCGTAGCGTGTTCTATTTTTAATTGTTTCGTTAAAGTATCTGACAATCTCACTGGGTCCCGAATCTCAGCTTTACCTGCGGCGCGGGAGGTTCAGCTCATTCCGACCTGCATATAAAGAGTAGGGACTTGGTAAGCTTACGCAAAACGTGATAGTATGATACACTTGTTGACCTGCTGAGTCATGTTGAACATTGAACCCTACCTCCTTTGCGTCAGAAATGAAGCGGAAAGTCCTCGTAGAGAGGCTCGCCCACGTTGATTACGTTCTTCTGGAGTGTCGGTAGTTTGAACCCACCCGGGGACGTACTATTGTCGAATGTGATTTTTTCCTCTTCCTTTTTGTTTCCTGGTAAGTCCTGCTGTTGGATTTAATTTTCATTCCGGTTGGAAGCACTTTGCCTGTGCCGAGTCGTATAGTATCTCGTCAGTTCGTTAGATGTGCAAGTTTGCAGTTGACGGAGGATTGTCGGGTGCATGTTCGTCAGATCAGAACTAAGCGAGAGAAAGCTCGTCGGATGTGTTCTTGTGCTCCAAAACTAGTGCAAGTTCGTCAGATATCCTTGGAAGTTCATTAGATGACCCAATCCCACCTATTCCGTGATTGATTGGCGCCTGGTGATGCGCCTCACCATGATCTCTTCCCGCTCCCGCTCTAAGCGATTTTACGGTGCGCACACAATCGCTGAACGCCCACTAATATTCACATATGTGTACAGGCGGCAATGGATGGCTCTCAGTATCTCCCTTACTTTTGGGACGGCAGCGAAGGACAGCAGCGGTATGATTCACTTTCTTTGAGTTCAGTAATCTCACCAGCCGGCAGAGCACCTCTCCTTGTCAATTCGGCTTCAGTTCCCGATGGACTGCCTTCGTTTGCCTTTTCCGGTATGCTGGTGCTGCGCGCGGCCCGTGTGGTACTTCGGCTGTTCCGTTTTCAGCCGATTACGCCGATCCTCCGAATTCAAAATCCGCCACAGCATCCCATCACTGATCTTACAAAAGCTTTATCAAACTAAATTCGCGTCTCGACTTGGTTCTTTAGCCTAAAACTACGCCCGAGGGATAAAAACTCGTGTGGGCTTACATGGGCTAAGTGGCCGACTACCTGGTGGCCGATAGTAGAGGAAATCCCTCTTGGGAGAATGAAAGGAGTGTTTCTGCAAGAGGGTTTGAAAATCCGATTTAAAAAAAACTGAGATTAATTCCCTTGTACAAAGCAGGTAGTGACTAAAAGTGAGAGGCACCATAGTTGGTTTGAAAACCATTGGATTACTGAATTTGATTGGCTTGATCGGCCCGATCAGCCCGATCAGGACGTGAAAAGGCTTACGTCGATTATGTTGAATTAGGCAGTCAATGAACCTAAATATGGATACCTGGACCCGCGTTATTACTCAGGTGAGTAAGAGTTGCGTTGTTCCGATGAGATCAAGTCTCGATGAGTTTTGGTATTTAGCTCTCCAGCGCGCGAGACGCATAGTGCACTCAACTCGCAGAAAGACCGAATTTTCAGCACAACAAGTTTCGGAGAAACTCGTCTGTAACAAGAAAAGTTAGGGTGAAGACGCGGTTATCTAGTTCTGAGACAAGGATGTGATCGGGGCGCGTGATTTCAGACCAGTCCGGGGACAAGATTTCCCGCATACCAGAGCCTGCACCAGGATATGACGAGCCGGCACACTTTACGACGTACGAATTACGAAACCTCTGCCGGAAAACGTTTGATAGACTGGAAATTGACTGGAAATCAGATGTCAGAATGATCCCTATATAAAGTCTTTCTTCGCAGAGAATTCCGCACATCATGGCAGTCATAAAACTCAACACTGGAGCAGAGATTCCCGCTATAGGTCAGTTCTGCTGAAAGTCTGTTCGGCATGCATGAATCGTTCCCCAGGTCTTGGAGGAACACCGGATGGCTTCACACCCGAAGATATGGCGGCCTGTGAGAAGTGGTTTCTCACTGCGTTCGAGGTGGGAGATCGAACATTCTTGATTATTGCACATTTTCTCAATGGTTACAGGCTGGTTATCGCCACTTTGACACAGCATGGATGTCTGGTGAGCAAATTGGCGCTTTGGAAGACGAGATTCTGATGGATATCAGGCACGGAACCAAGCCTTGGGGCAGCTCTACGTGCCTCCAAGGTCCCCCGCGAAGAGGTCTTCATCACAACGAAACTTGCGTACGCTTTCGACCATGTGCAATGGCCATAAACTGAGTCCCGAATGCAGATGGCACCACCAAAAATATGTTGAGCGTGCGTTGAACGACAGCTTGAGCAGGCTCGACGTGGATTACGTGGACTTGGTAGGATATTTTTTCCACAAACTACCGCGCCGTTTCACCTATCCTGCGCAGTATCTGATACATTGGCCTCAACATCTTGAATATCCTAGTCCGCCGAGTTTTATTTCGGTGTTCCACACTAATTATGTGTTCTAGGTGGATATGAATTTCCGTCCACGCTAGAGGAGATATGGGGGGGTTGGAAACTCAACGAAGAGCACACTTTCAACGACACCTGGGCTGAAATGGAGCGTCTACATGCGAGCGGTAAGGCTCGTGCGATTGGAGTGAGCAACTTCTCGATCAAGACGTTGGTGTTTGTTGGTCCATGTTCCACGTCTGGCTGACTTGAGTTCCTCCTAGACTTGAGGAGCTCTTCAAGACCGCAAAGATCGTCCCAGCGGTTAACCAGGTCGAGTGAGTGTTGAATATATGTTGATTTATCTAGATGACTCAACGAATATGAAGAATGCACCCATACCATGCGGATACTGAGCTCCTCGAATATTGTCACAAGAAAGGAATTGTTGTCACCGCTTACAGTCCAACTGGCCACCAGAAACTTCGCAGCGATCCGGTCCTCGCAGGGCTGGCGGAGAAATACAAGGTCTCACCTACGCAGATCATTCTCGCATGGCATGTCGCGCGCGGGGTCGTCGCTATCCCGAAGAGCTCAAATGCCGGACGTCAGAAGGAGAACCTCATGGTACGACCCTTTAATTTCGCAACAAAATACTCTGCTCACAGAACTGTGTAGTTGCCGACCTTGAGTGCAGAGGATGTGGCGAGCGTGACGGCGTTGGATCGCAAGCAACGATGCGAAGCCTGGGGCAAGTTCGGGCCGGACGGAAAGTTCCTTGGATGGACAGCAGAGCAGTATGGATGGTAGTTGCAGTACCTGAATTACTGTGAATTAACGAGGATCAGCCCAACTGACTACTAAGTTAGAGCTCGTCTGTGCCCGTGTGTAAAGCCGAAGCATTGAGTTATTGAATATATTCAATCTATAATTCACAGCACGGGTGGTGTAAATTCATGTTGGTTAGTATATAGGTGGATCAGTCCTCGTGGAGCATGGCAGCTTGCTCCCTCGCATTACAAACTCAGTCATCTGAGAGAGTCGGTGGTTCGATTCCACCCGAGGACATTTAAACCCTCTCGCAGGTTTTTTTGCTCTGGGATCCCAGCTCGAGGGAGATGCAACTCCGCACCACTCGGCAATTCGAAGAACGTGCAAGTGCTGCACACTGTCGAGTTCTCGGAATTCGAGCCAGCGCAGTGCCAGATTAATATCCAAGGTATCCCAAGCAAGATTCAATTTCACTTATTCATCCGAGGACATGCTTGTGCATTGTGAATTGTGGGTGTTTTTGTTCTTCTTATGCAGTGGCGACAGGTTCTACAGCGAATGGCGACGAGGTGATCAGAATTGTTGTGCAGTGTGGAGCCTTGGACATAATATGGGTGGATAAGTCCTTGTGGAGCAAAGACGCTCACTCCCGCTGATTAGGGGATCTCTTGACTCTCCGGGAGAGTCGGTGGTTCAATTCCACCCGAGGACCTGTATTTTGGAGCGATTTTTATTTTTCCCGGTCCCGAAAGTACGCACAACTTCCTGACGAGTTTTGCCCATATCGAAAGAAAGAGCTCCCTGACCGTAGCGCTCGTTGAAACCTCAGCCGAAGAATTGATTGAAACATTGACCACAAAATTTATTATCATTTACCACGGCCGGGAGGGCGGGAGGGGTTGTGATTACGATCTTAGTATAAGAGCTCATACGTCCCCGTTGAGCATGGCAGCTCGCTCCCGCCCAATGACTGTTCTCGTCCTGATCGCATCTGGGAGAGTCGGAGGTTCGAACCCATCCGGGCACTTGGCTTTGGTACTTCATCCTTTTTCTTCTTCTTTATTTCGATGAGATGCATCTTCGAGAGTTAGACCTCGACGGTCTCAGAAACGTTTTTAAATTGCCCAGGTACGGGTGGAGAGTTACCCAGGGTTTCTCCGTCCAAGTTAGAGATTGAACCCGGCCACAGTGAATCGCGATTCACGACTAGTTTTCCACCAGTGTAAATGTCGGTAAGTATGTAAGTAAATGAGTCCTCGTGGAGCAATATAAGCAACTCGCTCCCAGTAATTCCAATTTCGAGTAGCTGAGGGAGAGTCGGTGGTTCGAATCCACCGGGGACGTTCGGCAATGGGGTCCAACATTTTGGCTGAGCTGGAATCAGTCACAGCAATAGCGGGAAAGTGATACGTGCCGATGCGAAGCTTTGAAGCTTGTAAGTTGAAGTTTTGTAATAAAATTCCAACGCCGACGCGCAAACCCCCGTCCCAAAGCGGCAGAAGCCATCCCCTGACCGTCACTTGTACGTAAAATTTATGGGCTCACAAAACCTCCCTTTTGCTACTTACCTCCCTTTTAAAAAACAAAATCGGCGTCTCAACCTGGCATGCTCCTCACCCACCCTCTCGAGTTCAAGACCCTGCTGCAGTACCACATCTACCACGAGTAAAAGTGCGATATCACGACGAAGCAGGAGTACTTACCTCGCCTCGGGCTGGGATCGGGCGAGCATGTGGAGGTACTAGGAGCTCCTCGATATGACGAGCCGCAGTTTTAGTGCAGTCATCAAGGAGCTGGAGGGCGAGATGGCGGGGTGGTGGGTCGCGTTTCTTGTCAAAATAATAAAACTAAGGGCTCGTCCTCCAGCTCGACACAATCCAAGACAACATGACCCTTCCCTCCTCCAAAACTTCCACACCCATGGACCTTCATAGCGGATTTCGTGGCGCGCGACGTGAGGGGAAAATCTACTCTATAACTGGAAACGATAGCAGACTACGACCTCTGCTGCCACTACGTCGCCGACCTCGTTGGCGAGGAGCTCTCCCTCTTCGAAACGTATTCACTTTCGTCGCCATCCCCGCAACGATGGCGATCGCGACGCTTGAGCTGTGTCTTATGAATCCGCGGGTTTTCAAGGGCAATGTCAAGATAAGGAAGGCGGTGGCGGCGGAGGTGTGTCCCCTCCTTCTGACGAGTCGTTCCTCCCTCCCCTCCCTCTTCCCCTCTCTTCCCCTCCTTCTCTCTCTTCTTCCGTTCCTCCTTTATCCCCGCCTACCTCGCCCTCCTTCCTTATATGTCTGAAATATTCGCTCACTCACGCACCCAGCTAATAATCACTGTAAACAGTAAAAGCCCTATATATTAGTGCCTAGGCACTAATTTCTTGATTTTGACACTAGTATTAAGTGCCTTGGGAATTAGTGCTTTTTCAGCCACTTTAAATTAGTGCCTCCGAAGCACTAATCCACAAAGCACTGAATATCAGTGCGCAACTCTTTTTATCATCTTATCTTGATCTTATCGTGTTCCTGATGCCGTTCTGTGGCGGTGTGCACGGCCATCACCGGGAGTTAGGCATTACTGTAGAATTACATTCAATTCGGCAGTCACGCGTCACGGAGGGGGTTGACGGCGCCGAACTTTGGTCGGTGTCACGCGTCACGGCAGCGGTTGACGAATATGTCGGAGCGTCACGGTCAAGTCAAAAAATCCCTCAAAAACTGTAGAAAATTTGATGAAAATATTCCTGTGAGAGAAGGGTTACAAAGTCAGTTGCAACACATGTTTTTTAGTGTGGTTAAAGGACAGAACATAAGTTTTGAGCTAAAACTGACCAGAATTATGCAGGAAAAAAGTCCGTTTGAACCATATCCTCGACCGAAAGGCAACTGAATGTCAAAGGTCGGTCCAATTGAATTTTTCAACAGTCTATATTACCCTGCAGCAGTTTGGGAGGTTGCCGGAATTTCCCACATGTCACGCTCGATTTCGGCCGTTGACGAATTGACGAATATGTTCAAGATGTCACGCGTCACACCCCCTGCCGAATTGAATGTAATTCTACAGTATTTGGTCAACCTTCTTCGCTTTGACTTTTTGCCTCCGTCCACGGCCACTGCTGCTCACCGCAGGTCTTCCGTCCATCTCTGGCCTCTCAACCTCGGAAGAATGGGCTACATTTGGCTTTAGCCTCTCGCACTTACTCCGTACGAGCTTGAAACATGGGCTTTTTGACGTCTTCAAGCCTTTGATCATTTGTATCTTGTTTATGTCGGTGTACTTCATGCTCAGAAAGGTAAATTATGCTCACTTGTGACTTCATTTCTCGGCGCAGCACTCTCGGCAATGGGAAAGCGGTCCAAAAAGAAAATCTGCCATTGTAAACCTCCTTGTTGCCTACTTGTGGCAAGCGTCTTGCACTGAGGGTGAACCAGAGAAAAAACCGTGGATTTGAGCTCCATTTCTATCCCGTCATTCTACTTTTTTCAAGCTTATACTTCCAAGAGAACTAAACGCAAAACGGCGCCTGAGCAAGAAATCGAACCCAAGGGTTCAAAAAAAAGGTAGCTTGCAATGCGAATTCATTGTTTCAATCTGATTCCATCGGATATGTATGTTCGAGTGTCCGACTCGATCCCATCGCCTCCCCCAACTTAATATTCAAAATCCAAGCCTAAACCAGCAAGTGGATTGGTTCTGACCTCTCGAATTGGAACCTTCTATCTAACGGGGAGGAGGCAAAACCTGAAAATCCCATAGACATGCCCATCTGACAACTACAAGTTGACCCGGAGAGTTACGAATATGCAATACTACGCGCACATTTAATCGCCTTATTGTCCGATCTTTGAACATTTAATGGACTATCGCTAGCTTGGGACAGCAAGGGGCACACCTCATCTCGTCGACCATCTACCGTATCTTTGCATATTCATTTGCGAACCTCAGAACGAAACTCTCCATCACGGTTAAAAGACTAATAGCGCGTCAACCAAAAGGTCCCCGATCCGGCCTCCGCCCCGCGCTCGTACTACCAATCGAACACTTCATTGAATTCGTCTTGATTCCACATGTTGCTGTCTGTCTCATCGCTGAAGACATGGAGGTTTCCTACAAGAACACATTGGATATCAAAGACGCAAGCGCTGATTTCGGTGACATGTTTTACTGGGATATAAATACCGCACAGGTTCAAGATCTGGACCAGGCTAATAGAGGCGGTAGGCGACAGACGTCTCCCTGCGACTCCTGAGTGAGCTTATCCCCGCATAAAGCAGACATCTACCCATCCTAAAGACTCGCCAACTCTGTTCTCTCCCACCTCACCCCTCAAATGTGCGGACTTTGACTCACCGGCCGAAGGCTCAAGAAAGTACAACAAGCTCCGCTTCGAGGTGATTAAATCCCGGTTTTTCAATTGTTTCTCTGTTTTACCGCTTGATAGGATCCGCCATCCATAACGAATTCCTGCAGGTTGGAATGAGTTGAGCCTCACACAGCGCGTGTAAAGCTGGCTTTTGGGACCCAGAGATCGTCAGATACTGTAAAGAATAAAATAAAATAAAAACACGCTTTGCAACAGGAACGGTGAGCGTCGAGTGACTGAAGACCCGCGATTCGGCCACAAACGAGAAGAAGAAAAAAACCCGTGTCTGGGGACACTGAATATCAATGCAAAGGTCTCGTCTTTTGCCCGCAGTCTTTTGTTTTTTGTTCGAGCATTCTCAGAGAAGTTCGAGGCCCATAGGACCACCATTACCTCTGGTACGATCTCAAAAGTTGACTGACGGCAAAAAGAACCGAAATCATGTTCTTCATCACTTCGAAAAGACATGATTTGTGATACTTTAATAAATTGAACCACCCGTGAAACTACAGTTTACAGGCTCAGCGGCCGTAAATTATAACCAGCTGGTGGCCTCTGGCCAGGGAAGTGGTTCAGAAAATTTAGAGGGCTAAGGAATTCTATTTGCGCAACCGGGTGATTATAAGGCAAAGAAACGGCATTTTGGACAGTTATATAAAGAGCGAGATGGTTGGCGAGTGGCAAGCTCAGAAAGACTCCCAGACATTGGAGTGATCGGAAACCTGCTAGAAATAGTGTAAAAGATATTACAATGAGGTGAACCCAAGGTGAACCTTCAGTTTCCCCGCGTTTGCGGTTTGTTCTGCGTCAACGCCACCTGTTGATCAAGCTTTCCGAAATGATTGCAGCTATACTCATCTACTCCAGACTCCTTTGGTCGTGCTGCGCAACATAAACATACAGCGGCACGGCCGGCTGAATTTTATAA